GTCCCCCCGAACGCCCGCCCCCCCCCCCCCCCCCCAGATGCGAACACCCATGATCGAATTTGGTTGCTACCCGCCGCTGCCTGCCATTGGATGTGCGCATGCGCTAATAATGCTCTGACAGGAAGCATTCTACCTGTTTCAGGTTTTATTTAGCGACGCTGACAGTAGCTGACACTGTCATGTAGTGTCAGGAGGCAGGATGATGAATGAATTATAAGAGACGTAGAGGGCTCGTAGGCCACTTTGATACAACCCAGAAACGTGTCTGGAATGACTAAGTAAACCCACGGTAAGCCTCAGGACAGTGGGTCTCCCTAGCGGGATTCGAACCTTACACGTCCCGAATGAAAGTCTGGAGTTTCTGAAAGCAGTTGGATGTTGTATGTAAGCTGAGGGCTCGAGTTCGTTGTATTCAGGGCCTAGTTCTTTGAGACGTGTTGGAGCCGTGTGCAGTAAATAGGGCACGTCTCCATACCTAGATCTCCGAGGAAGCCATGTTTGCGGCATTCACTGCACGCATCGGTGTGGTGCTCGAGTTTCTCAGACCCGTATAATCACAGCTGTAACACCTGCCGCTGAGAGAGGCGTGGGTGGGCATGTCGGGAAATGTACGCACAGCGTATAACAGTTCTGACGCTTCACTCTCGTTTAATCGTCTCGAAAACTGAAGGCCTTAACGGAAAACATATGTGTATTACACATAATCTGCAAGTTTTTATGCGAAACATATTTCACTCCAATGAATATGTAAGGAGTTGGGCGCGAAATGCACTCAGAAACGCGTGTCTGTCTTCCCATAATGTTCGTCATTCTAAATATGCACATTGTAGTCGTCATCGTCATCATGGGTTAAGCCATGCTTGGTCTGTTCCCCCCTCTTGAAAAGTATGTTGGTCCCTCCATCTTTACTAGGGGCGACTAGTTTTTCGTCTTCTTTTTGGGTTGCAAACATTCTCTTAGGAAACTGTNTCTTACAGCCGAATTTCGGATCCGTATGTAAGTGTATGTACCGCCATAACTTTGTGAAACTTTATCTGCCTCTCCTTCCTTGCTCTGTTACTCAGTGTTCTTCGTATTATGCCACGTTTGGTGAAATTGTGCAGTTTTGTTTTTAAATTCCTTCTCTTCATTCCTAAATAATTAAAATTGTTTACTTGTTCAATTATGTGATTATCGCTTTTTTAGTTCTCACATTAATCATTCCTTTCAGAGCCATTGCCTTTGTCTCGTTTACTTAAATCTTCAAATTATATTTTCTAGCTGTATTGTTCAGTGAATAATGCCTGTACTTGTGACTATCGTGTCCTTTGCTGAAATTCTTACTCATTATAGTCGGACGCCATAGTACCACATTTAATCGAAATCCGCTCACCGGTTTTCGTGTTGTTACATACCGGCAGACAGATATGGAAAAACGAATAGGTTATTCTTTCAATGTTTCGTTGGTGACGCGCCAAGAAACACTCCCTTGTCCGAGTAGCGGTTGATTTGATTTATGAAGTATATTCCAGGAATGGAATTGTCATGAAATGCGTTAACAACCAGTCTGTTCACATGGCGTGTGTGTCGCCTGTTGCATGCTTTGCAAAAAAAAAAAAGAAAGTAGAGCTATCCCTGTAACAGGCCGTGGAGGCCCCTAGGATTGTGAGACGTCGAGGCTCCCACATTTTCTAGACAATCGGCTGACAGATGGCGGTGAGGTTGTCAGCCTTACGAGCCGGCCGCCCTTTACCCCCCAGGAAGATTCGTGGTACTCATTTCTGTTAGAGGCTGAGTCGACCCCAGGGAAACAGTGCTGCTGAAAGGATTAGGTCAACTGAAAAATCAAGTGACATCATCGGGAATCAAATCCGCGACCTTCCGGTTTGTAGCGTAATGCCTCGACCAGCTACGCTACCGCGTGCCCCTGCATGCTTTGTGAGTAGCTGAAATATGATATTAACGGGCCTAATGAATACAGTAAGATGGTGGTTTAAAAGAATGTGGACCAATTGTTATACAAGTATAGGCTGTTGTTACCATGGTACATGAGCACTCAACTGTGTGTCGACATTATTCATGTCCTGTGTAATAATACGGTTTGTTTCTATAAGCACATTTAACCCTTTAAAGCCCGGTGGTCACTATATGTACCACCTCCTGTAACATGCTAAAACTCTCCGTTTAAAGCCAAGCCTACCTCTATAGTTTCCACTCTGCCTTGTTCTTGTGTATCAGGATATTTTGTGTTATGATTTTTCATCTGTGGTGACACGTCACAGATGATAATTTTTAGTGTGATAGCCTTCTGCCACTGTCCCACGCCTTCAATAATAATAATTATAAATTATAATTTTTATATTCGTCTCTGTCTGGTTTCTCGGATTTACGTTGAAATTTCTTTCCTTGCACGCACACGCGCGTACGCGTACACGTACCAGCACGCACACCACCAACAAATACGCGACATTAATAGAGGCGCCACATCACACGGCTTTTAATTTTTAACTTTATATATTTTTTAAATGTTGAACACAGTAGAAGTAAATAGTTTGTGCAAGAGCGAAGAATTTAGTGTGTAGCGCATGATCGTTCTGCCAGCAGTGTAACAGTTACCGTGGAACGGCATACACACCTGACGATGGTCCTCGTGACACCGAATCATGACCTGTAGCAGTGGAAGTAAGACATGATACGGGTATGGATGAACCTGGAGTCGCTCGGGTAGCTGCACTGAAGCCTGTGTTTGGAAATTGGAGACACTAGGGATAAACTTGGGGGGGGGCGGAATCCCCGCTGGTGAGAAGGGGATAAGTACGGCGGTCGTCCTTCGGGAAATTTTCTGAAAGGAAAGTTATTTGAATTTGTCACAGCGGTGACCATGGGGCGAGCTACCCCTGGGACGCTGTTGCTAATGTAGCAATGCTAATTGCACGTCCTTTCATGTTATTAAAAAGGCAACAGGTCGTGGAGGCCAATAACGTTGCGTGACGTCGAGACTCCCACATTTTGTTTATACAGTCGGCTCACAGATGGCGATAACGTTGTCATCCTTCCGCTCCTGCTGCCCATTACCTCCCCAGGAAGATAACCTCTCGACATAAAGACGTAGAATATAATAAAACAACCCCCGGCCCGATTTGTCACGACCTAAACAACGGAAAATGCCCCGGGATCGTCGGGGCTGGTGGTGGAAGTGGCCCTCACGAACTCAGAATATTACTTATATCTACGTAACATTGGAAGACCAAATCGTAGATGGGAGGACAATGTTAAAATAGGTCAGAAAGGTGGGAACTTGTGTAGTGGACTAATCTGCCTCAGAGCAGAGGCTAGCAGGCAGCTCTTGTGAACACGGTAATGAATCTTTGTCTTCCATAAAAGGTGGAGCATATTTTGAGTGCTGGTAACTAGGCAACTTCACAAGAAGGACTTGGCTTCACGGAGTCAGTTCCTGGAGGAAGCGGAAAGAGCGTACAGGTGCCCCCCCCCCCAGGCCAAGCGATTGCTGCATTCCCGAGAGCGGTCGCGTAGCTGCAGATTTTTTGTAACTCTTCTGGTTTCACAGCTTTACATTTTCATCGCGAAACCCGCATTAGAATAAACTAATGCTCTTCATATTTTCCGTTAACGGATTCTAATTTTGTTGTTTTAGACCAGCCGTGTCAAACATGCGGCCCCCATAGCCACAAAGCGGCCCGTCAACTTTTGGAGTTAATTGATATTAAAATTTTAATACAAATATTTTTTGTAAAGACAATTTTCCAACAGACCAGAAGACAAGAAGTCTCACGCAGACATAAATTAGCAGGCTGCAGGAAATTCAATGTTTTGCTATTTCTAACATAATTTCTTGTGTAATCTCTCTTTTTACACATTGAAAAGCTGTTTGATACTTGTCAAAAATGGCATTCTCTTGCTTTTTAAAACTGTAAGATATGTGAGTTTAGGTAATTATATTGAAATTATTCCTAAATAATAAATAGAATTAAATTTCCTTGTATCAAAATCTAATGTATATTTCTATTTTGAAGTGCGGCCCTGGACTGTTATTTATAGGGCTGAGGTGGCCCTCTGTACAAGTTGAGTTTGACATGCCTGTTTTAGACCAATAATACAATACTATCTTCCTTTTTTTTATATACTCCTTGCTGAAGCAGCTTCAGTCTAGACAAATCACGTGAAGTCGCGTTGATGCAAAATTTGCGTACGGCACTTTAGAGTGAGGTCTCATGTTGTAATCGCATCCAGTTGTATAACTGCAATGCTGGTGCGGTGTGCAGACGTTAGGATGTGATGCAGAAACCGTGAAACACTACCCTTTCTTTGAACGTAATCACGTGCCACTGTTTAAACACACTGCCCAGATAAAAGGACGAGTATTTACTGCGCGCGGTGTGGATGGTGCGTATACATTGCTCTTTGAACGCATAGTGTGTGTTTGAGAGCGCCATGGGTTGGAGTACACATCGCTTGGTATGTAGAACTTGCCAGAATTTTTTAGATCACTATAGTGCAAAGTGCAGTGCACTTGGCCAGATCTGCTTATCGTTCCCCGCCAGTGCAAACGTGTGCTTTGCTAGTGTGCAAATCACGCGATGATTTTCCAGCAGGCCCAGGCTTTTGTGGCATTTCCGTTCAGATCTCTCTCTCGTCCATCTGTTGCATTCCAGGTAGTACTCTCGAAAGGGAACCATTATCTTCACTTCTATTCGCCAGATTTCCTTTTCATCGGTGAAATATTTTCATAAATTCGGGTCCTCTTCCGAATGAATTCTCTTGTACTGCGGCCACTTCCGGCCTATTGTACCAGCCCCAGATGATAGGTGAGGGTGATTGTGAAGCAATTGGTGGAATGAAGATTGGCAGGGGAAACCGAAGTACTCGAAGAAAACCTGCCCCAGCGCCACTTTGTCCACCACAAATCCCACTTGACCAGACCCGGGATCGAAGCCGGGCCGCCGCGGAGGGAAGCCAGCGACTAACCGCTTGAGCTATGGCGCGGCCATGAATTTACTTACTTCAGTTTCTATACGTTCAGTATTTGTTAACCCCGTGCCCATTGTTCGGCAAATGAGCCCAATACTGTCGTGGTCAAATCGAAGAGGCAGGAAGGAGACTACTTTGGCGTAGATGGGAGTATAATATTAAAATGAATATTAAATTGAAGGATGCAAGAGAGAGTGGACTGGATTTGAACGTCTTCAGAGTGGGGTCCATTGATGGCATTGAACCATTGGCTTCCATAAACGCCGGTGAATTTCTTCGCCATGTGAGCGACTATCACTTTTTTCTCAAGAAGGCCTATGCCTTATGAAGATCTTTGCTTCAGTTGCAGTTCTTCAGCCACGTTTTAAATGTCGGTGGAATTGGAATTTTGGAGACTGAGTGAATGACGAGTTGCCACGTGTAGGATGTGACGCCGTTTGTCAGGTAAATAGATGCAACGTTTTGGATGAGAATCCTGCTGCCGGAGCAGCCGGTATAGCTTAGTTGGCTACGGGATGGACGGACGGGGTTTGATTTCCAGTAGGGGCTAGAAAATTTTCTCTTCTCCACAGCGCCGAGACCGGCTCTGGAGCCCACGCAGCCTTCGGCTTGGCTTTCTCCGGGGGTAAAGCGGGTGGGGCGTGAAGCTGACAACTTTCATCAAGTACCGAGGCCAAGAGTGGTGGAACTATACCTCCAGTCCCCCATACACCCCATGGCGTGCTCCTTAATTAGTGAAGCAAAGAGAGAACTTTACCTTACTGCCCCTCTCTTCTGGGTACACTTCTACATCGAACTTCGAGGCAACAAGTGCCTCTAAAACGTTTGTACCAATTTACCAAACTGTATAGCGTCACATTCCAAGAACCGCAATTTTAAAAATCAATAGGCTATGTATTTTATACTTCAGGGCATATCTGTCAGCTGTCAGGCGCAGCCTATCTTCTGGATCTGATACTGGCCTTTGGGTTCACTAAGTTTCTGGACCTTATTCACCGTTCGGTATTCGGAAAGTACACAGCGTTTCGGAAATTGGATATTTTCCGTCCTCAGATTTTCGGTTAGGGATGCAGCTTCCAAGTTGGGTCCGTAGGAAAAAAATGTAATGCAAATTAGTGGACCATGGACCAGTGGTGCAGTGATTGAAGTTAGATCTAGTTCCAAAACGTTGTGTTCGCAGAGAATACGGGACCATGGACAAAGTTCAGACCTTCATAAATCCCGAATGTAATGTACCATCTTCATAATTCTTTAGAATTGTCTAATACTTTCTGTTCAGCTCCTTCCATATATTACATTTTGTCAGTACTTTTCTGATTATTAAATTTTGATTGTTAGAAACAGGAGCAGAAGGCCGCCGCGAAGCATGAACATCTATACAAGATACTGGTGATTGGTGAGCTTGGTACAGGCAAAACGTCAATTATCAAGCGCTACGTCCATCAGTTCTTTTCCCAGCATTACCGAGCCACTATTGGCGTTGACTTCGCTCTGAAGGTCCTGAACTGGGACGCAAACACCATCGTAAGACTGCAGCTCTGGGACATTGCAGGTACCGTGGGGATTCATTGTTATTATCATACGACGTATCTACAGCAATTCCGTGCCAACCACATGGGTCACTTTTCTGAAAGACGCCGCGGTTAGCAAGGCCAAGGCGTTATGGGAGGTTGGGCTTAGGGGACTTCAAGGCCTTATGGGAGGCTGGGGTTAGGGGACTTGTGGACGCTTCTGGAATACTTCACAGTCTATAGCAGTTCCAGAACCTCCACTAAACACAGACATATGCAGTAACACGTTTCAGAATAAAACATAATACCATGCAGCATTAAAAATGGCGTACTGAAGTGCTTATCTGGGAGGTAAAAAACTGGGTTTGGTTGATTAGGACCATGTCAACCCACCGGTTGTTTCTCATGTGTACACTATTTAAAAATCGCGGCTACATGAAATCAAATACCACTGTTGGCAAACTGGATACAAATGGAAAACAGTGGACATCTGGAGCCTGAGGTTACCATGGGATTGCTATGCACAGAAAATATCAAATGCAAGAATACTGTGGCACAGTCAAATGAGGCATTTTAAATAACCTTGCAAATTCGAAACAATCATCTTTACTTATAGTTCTATATGGGAAAGTGTTGTTATGACGAAAAAAGAAAGTTGAGCTCGAGAGTTTGATGGATCTACACGTTTTAAGCCCTTGTGAACATGAAACAGTGGCTCTTTGTATGTCATATATGTTCTTGTTTGTGTATAAAGGTGGATGTGCCCCTTGCTAGTGCTTGAACAATTGGATTTCATTTGTATTCGGTATTCAAAAATTTGTCCGCCATAGGCCAGTGCCCGGTGAATATGAACATCCTAGCTCCAAAAATAACGTGCCGTGCATATGAGCCATAAACACAATTCTCATTTTCTTTAAAATGGCTCTAGAGATGTTGACTAAATTCCGGAAACTTGTGGAGACCATCTCCCTAAACAAAACTTTATGGAAAATAACTGTATGTGCACTAGGGGTCCAAATAGAAGATGTGGACTTTTTTTTGTGAACCAGCTCTAGTGGTTACATGGACTTCATTGTTCGGTACGTAGCAGCGAACTAGTTGCCTGGTGAGGAACAGTCAATCTCGTTTGCAGAGTAATGCAGTCAGGGTCAGCCTATGTGAGCTGTGGCAGTGTAAGGTTTTGTATTTGAGGTACTGCCCTCTAGGATATAATGCTGTATAGTCTGGTAGAAGTCCTCTGACATTTTGTAAGAATGTCAGTAGACGTTTTACCTGACTACACAGTGTTATATTCTTAATTTCCACTGTTCTTTGTTGAGAACTGTGACTGTGCGTGCTGGTATGTGTATGTGTATAGTGAACTGTAAAGTGTAGTCACGTGCTGTACCAAAGAGTCCAATAAATCCGATTACAAATCCAAAACCCATCTGTAGTCACTCCATAAAAGCATGACAGTATATTATAATAGTATCATGAACAGATGTAATTCTTCTGCCTAATGCTGCAAGTCAAAGCTTGAATTCATAGGAAATGTTGTGCCATTGCACCCATTAAAAACTAACTTCCTCACTCTGCAACCAGCTACGTTGCAGGTTAGAGATGAAGCTCCCAACTGAGAGACTGAAGATATGATGTGTTGCCTGGTTAGGGCCCTTGAACACCTCGGGGGGCAGTGGTAGATGTGTATGGAGCAATGGTTGAATGGTTGTTAGCAGGGGAACTCACCATTTCATTTAAATGTACATAAATATCGTTTTGAGACTGTAATAAATAGCCATATCTATACCATGTATACTTTTAAGTACTTGTAATTATGACACCAACTTAACATTCATTAAGATAAATAGGTTTATGAAAAGTATCTTGATACAAAAAGTGGAAGATGCACAGATTATTTGAGGCTGTGACAATGGAAAAACAAATTCTGTTCTGCAGTAAATCCTGAATGATACCATTATATCCATGTTAATGAGTTATACAGGAATTTGTTACATAAACAGGACAGTGAATATCAATTTTTATAGTCCAGTACATGGATTATGTTTAAACATAAAAAAATCTGCATTTTGCCCATGTTTTATTTATGTTTTATTTTATATTTCCCCCCAAAATGTGCTTATTGCCCTAAACGGCATTAACTGGTTGGGCTCTGTAACAGAGATACAGTTTATATTCTGCAATGTGGTAACATAATCTTAAATATTATTTAGATGAACTTCATGTTTGAAAGAGTCAGCCAGTTAATAACTTTGTTTGCGTGCAGATCACACTGTGAGCTTATATAGGTGCATTTAGCTGTTGCTCTGGCCTCTAATCCCACCCAACCCCCTACTCTATGTCTCTCTCTCTGAACTTGTATTAATGCACAGTCTCAAATTTCAGGCCAAGAACGGTTTGGAAATATGACTCGGGTGTATTACAAGGAAGCAGTTGGAGCATTCATTGTTTTTGATGTCACGAGAGCTGCTACATTTGATGCAGTTGTTAAGTGGAAGCAGGACCTGGATGCCAAGGTGCAGCTACCAGATGGCTCTGCCATACCGTGTGTCCTTCTGGCAAATAAGGTAAGCTTTATATCTGAGGTTCTCAGTGGTTAAGAACACTTATCTCCTGAGTTGTAACACTCTGTAGACCAATATAAGACCTTCAGAGTTTACAGAACTACATGGTGTTACAAGCCATGTTACTGTTCTCAAAGTAAGCTTTCATCACTGTATGTACAAGAGTGTGTTATATCACAATATTTGGGCAGTGTGTGTCTCATCTGTTGAAATTGGAGCAAATGTCATGAATGCATTTGACCTTGCAAAAGGCGTTTGAACCACCTCCTCAGCGACTTCACTGTTTTCAAGTTTTTGTACATTGTTAGTTTCCATGCCAGGAATGTGCGATTTGTAGCCAATGGTCATTTACTGATGATTCTATCCTGGCACAAACACAGATAGATAATGATTTATAGTAAAGAGCTAGAAATATAATATACACATGATTATCCTTGCTAATAAAGGGAGAAACACCAGAAACTATAAAAAATACGAATCAATACGAAGACACATCCAACATTACAACACCTGCAGCCAGAAAGGGAACACACATCACGAGACACGGTATACACGGAGTGTGATAGGAATGACTCCCATAGTGGAGGAACCATGCGTGGGTTTGAATTAGGACACATAAGATGAATAATCTTAACAAGTTTTAGGGTATTAAAATTTATTATAGTTGACGAATACTTTTTAAAAACTTTTAAAATAATTTTACAATGATACATAATGGCAAGCAATGCAATAGATTAGTGTAAATAAAGCACATGATGATGGCACTATGTTGCCAAAACATGTCGTGAAGTAACAGGTGAAATTGAGTGCACTACAAGACGGACACTGCATACCACATCATGGACGAAAATCGGTGCAACAGGACGCTAAAATACAACATTATAAAAAAATATTGCTAAATGAAGTTCTGATGTGATGGGAGGCCATGGTAACTGTTTGGAATGCAGAAATTAGAAAAGTTCATAGCATCTGATCTGTTCATTTATCTCAAAAACTATTAGATATATGGACAACATTTTTGAACATAACTGTGTGTGTCATCTTTGCCTGCTTCATGTTCTCTTTGGATGTTCTTATTTGTGATATATATTTAGTAAGTTGCACTCCAGATATATGTTGAAACGCATGTGAAGTGTCTGGCATTGCTATGTGATTTAAATGGAAATTAAAATGATTAGGTAATTCTTTGTCAATTTCCCTAACATCCAATTTCATTCAAATCTGTCTAGCAGTTCTGTAATTGTTTGATATGTATAGAGAGACAGATCTTAGTGATCTTAGCAAGTACTCTGGAGGTTTGTGAACATGCTGAAAAAGGAAGATGGGTAACCCACTAACCAGATAAGTAGTGTATGGATAATCAGGAATTTATTGTAACAATAAGTTAAGGAAAAGTAATTGGAAGCAAAATTTGGTTGAATATAAACATTTTTTTAACAAGTAAGTACCTCTTGCTGTGTCCATGTACACTTGATGGAATTCAGACCTGTATGTTATGTGCAAAATCTAAAGCTTCAAGTTGATGTTTTGATCCATAGAAATAACTGCCTGCTCTTGATTTATTTACTGTAAGAATATATGTTGAAATCTGATTTTCAGTGTGATCAACCAAAAGAAGGGCTTGTAAATAATCCTTCTAAGATGGATGAATACTGTAAGGAACGAGGTTTCACTGCCTGGTTTGAAACTTCTGCAAAAGATAATATCAATATTGAGGATGCTGCAAAATGCTTAGTATCAAAGGTGAGTAAACGGTGTAATTCCTTATAATATTATATTTTAGCTTCCCGTTGCATTGAGGCATTATTCTTATTATCAAAGTGCACGTCAATAATGCAACAATATAAAAGACATCAAGAATATGTCACTCGCTAAAAATGTATTTTAATACTTTATGATGTTAAAATCATTAAAATGTCAAAAGGACACTAAAAGTATATTTTATACATTAAAAGTGATTATCTTAATACACAAGAGAATTGTATCAGCAGTTACGAGGGTAGAGTTTGTTAGTGACAGGATATATATTATCACGTGTTGGGTATGTCACGCAACAAATAACTATGCGTGGGTCTCGGATTCAGCGAATCTTTATTGGACACTCACACTTACACACTTTACAACCATTAGCACCTGCAGTATGACAATTACTGCTTACACAATATCTCAGCCAATACTTCTGTAGCTCCAACTATCTTCAGTGGCAGCTTCCTGAAGACTGACTTCTTGTCGAAGCTGGGCTATTTATACCTCGGCAGTTGCTATAGTGTGAGCCTTTGTTATAACCGTGGAAACTCATCTCTATGCAGTGCTCACTGTTAGAATTAGAGTATCACTATTGTTACTTCCTATGCAACGGTCTGTTCTAGTGTTTCCATAGAAGTGACTCTTCTGGATTCCAAACACGTTACAATATAATACTAAAAGGTCGCTGGTGTGATATTGTTACGAATGTTCATGCCCCAACAGAAGATAAAATTGATGACATAAAGGACAGGTTCTATGAAGAATTTCAACACGTATTTGATAAATTCCTGAAGTACCCTATGAAAATTTTGTTAGGAGATTTCAATGCCAAAGTAGGGAGGGAAGACATTTTTAAACCAATAATTGGGAATGAGAGTTTGCATGAAATTAGTATGATAATGGAGTTAGAGTACTAAACTTTGCCACATCAAGAAATCTTACTGTCAAAAATACAATGTTCCTGCATTAAAACATCCATAAATTTACTTCGACATCTGATGGGAAGATACACAATCAAACAGACCATATTTTGATAGATAGGAGACGGCACTCAAGTATCCTTGATGTCTGATCATTCAGGGCAGCAGATTGTGATACTGACCACTACCTGGTGGTGACAAAGGTTAGGGAAAGACTGGCAGTGAGCAAACAAACAACGCACAGAGTTCATATGGAGAGGTTCAATCTCAAGAAATTAAATGAGGTAGAGGGTAAAGAGCAGTATTGTGTTGAAATCTCAAATAGGTTTGCAGCTTTGGAAAACTTGGACACTGAGGTGGATGTTAATAAAGCTTGGGAAACTATTAGGGAAAATATAAGAATTTCTGCCAAGGAGAGTCTAGGTTATTATGAATCGAAGGAGCATAAGCCATGGTTTGGTGAAGGATGCTCAAAATTATTAGACCAAAGAAAATGAGCTGAATTGCAATAGTTGCAGGATCCAAGTGAAATAAATAGGGATAATATGAACAATATAAGACATGAAACCAGCAGGCATTTTAGGAATAAAAAGAGGGAATATCTGAAAGATAAAATTGATGAGCTTGCAATGAACATTAAGAACAAGAACATTAGAGACCTATATAGAGGACTTCAAAAGGGGTTACCAGCCTAGCAGTAACTTAGTGAAGGATGAGAATGGTGATCTGCTTGCAGAGTCCCACAACATTTTGAATAGGTGGAAGAACTTCTCTCAATTATTGAATGTACATAGTCAGTGATGTTAGGCAGACAGAAATCCATACAGCTCAGCTGTTAGTACCTGATCCCAGCCCTTTTGAGGTTGAAAGTGCTATTGCAAAATTGAAACAGCATAAATCGCCAGGTAGTGATCAAATTCCGGCAGAACTTATCCAAGCAGGAGGCGAAATATTATGTTCTAAGATCCACAAGCTAATTAATTCTATTTGGCATAAGGAAAAATTTCCTGATCAGTGGAAGGAGTCTATTATTGTACCAGTTCACAAGAAGGGTGATAAAACTAACTGTAGTAATTATAGGGGGATATCACTGCTATCAACTTCATACAAAATTTTATCCAATGTTCTTCTCTCAAGGTCAAGTTCATACAAGGATGAAATTATTTGGGATCATCAGTGTGAGTTTTGATGAAACAGATCAACTACAGATCAGATCTTTTGCATTTGTCAGATAATGGAGAAAAAATGGGAGTACAATGAGACAGTATATCAGCTATCTGTAGACTTCAGGAAACCTGTAATGTAGTCAAGAGGGAAGTATTGTACAATATTCCGATAGAGTTTGAGATACCCATGAAACTAGTTAGGCTGATTAAAATGTGTTTAAACGAAACATATAGTAAAGTCCATATAGGTAAACATTTGTCTGATAAATTTCCTATCCAGAATGGTCTAAAACAAGGAGATGCTTTATCGCCACTCCTTTTCAACTTTGCCTTAGAATATGCTGTTAGGAATGTCCAGGAAAACCAGATGGGACTGAAATTAAATGGGACACATCAGCTGTTGGTCTATGACGATGATGTGAATCTACTGGGTGACAATATAAATGCCATAAAGAAAAACACACGAACTTTAATTGATGCAAGTAAGGAGGTTGGTCTAGAGGTAAACACAGAGAAAACTAAGTATATGTTGCTGTCTCTTCACCAAAATACAGGANGGGGAATATTTGGACCGAAGAGAGATGAAGGGACAGGAAGTTGGAGAAAACTGCATAATGAGGAGCTTCATAACTTGTACTCTTCTCCAAGTATAATTAGAATGATCAAGTCAAGGAGGATGAGGTGGGCAAGGCATGTAGCACGAATGGGGGAGACGAATGCATATAGGATATTGGTGGGGAAGCCAGAAGGAAAGAACCACTGGGAAGACCAAGGCATATGTGCGTTGAAAACNTGTACGTGGGTGAACAAGATGAAAATGGATCTTAAGGAGAGAATAGGATGGTACAGATTGGATTGATGTAGCTCAGGATAGGGACCAGTGGAGGGCTCTTGTGAATGAGGTAATGAACTTTCGGGTTCCATAAAATCCTGGGAAATTCTTGAGTAGCTGCAGAATCAGCAGCTCCTCAAGAAGGGCTCAGCTCCACGAGTAAGTAAGTAAGTAAGTAAGTAAGTAAAAGTGTTTATCAAAATTTCTAAAATATCTCTTGTTTTTCATATATCTTTTCTAGTTTACGACATGTTTTGGCTGCACATGGGCCATCATCAGGTGATTTTCTTTTTGGGGAGACCACTGCACTGTTCACTTGTCCACCATGCTCCCATGCACGTCAATGTTTAGTTCTATCTCATGACTAGAATGCTGTTGTTGCACTCTTTTGCAGCTATCATAGTTTTTTGTGTCGTATTCCTCTTGTGTATGTGTCACTACTGTGGTCTTTCTGTATACAGGCCTTGCAGCGAGTGGTTTTATCATTAATTCACCAAATTGGGTTATTTTTAATGTGACTTCTAAGGACGAATTTTCTCAATTTGTGCTTTGTATCAAATATTATTAGACTGATCAAATTAACTGTTTTCATGTCACAATAACTTGCCAAAATTTCAGATTTGTATTCTGTTCTCATTTGTTTGTGTTTTTTATAACAAAATAGACACATCTGCCATCTAGAATTACAGCAATAAAATAGGAGAAATGTGAACGAATGATTGGTTGCTGAATATGTTACCAGTGACACAGGAAGTGTTAAGAGGATGAGGTGGGGTGGGATGCTTAGCACACATGGAAGAGATGTGAAATACAAAATTTTGATCAGAGAACCTGAAGGGAAGAGACCACTTTCAAGACTAAGCATAAGTAGGAGGATAATGTTAAAATGGATCTGAAGAAATGGGTGTGAGGTTTTGAAATGGATTTTTCTTCCTTAGGATAAAGCCTTCATTGTTCACTCTTACTACACACACTAGAAGAAAACTGAATGTTTGTAAATTGTTCAGTATATGCTCCAGACTGATAACAGAGCAACAATAAGGCAGATCCCATTGTAATGAATCTAAACTCAAAGATTTTCTTTTGTTTTTTCCCACTTAATTGTGAGTGTGTTCAGGAGATTATGATTAATTCATTAATGGGCAATTTCAACTCATAACATCCCTTTTGTTTAATTATTTCAAAAGCAAATGTTTACAGAAACTATTGACATAAGATGTGGTATCATTTTCTTCTACAGCTCTTGTTTGAAACATTTTTCTCTCTGATAAATATTGAGAAAGATATATGCAGAAATGCATTTAGGTTTTCTTGTAATGTAGTTGTTAAAATTTGTCTGATTGAAATGAAAATTGACATGGCATAATAATATTTTGTAAAATTCTCTGGCCTTAGACTTCAAGAGACTCATTCCTCATTTGACTTCTGCTATTCATATGGATGAAATACTGGGCTTAACAGGTGCTCCGCAGGGTTGGAAATGTGTCTAAAATTGGGAAGATATCATAAAATATATGTTTCAGTCTCTGGTATGGAGATTTTGGTTTTCAAAGACTGTACTCTTGTATTTCTTTGCAAAAGAAAGATAATGGTTTGTTACACTTTGGATGACTAAGTACCTGGAGTTTGTCCCATCATCTGCTGTTCTGGAAGATCACAACATTTTGGAAACTAGGTGTACTTCTGTCCTTGGGTGAAAAGGTGGGGAGGCATGTACTCAGTTTGGTCCACCAGATAGAGCTAATTTTTCCAATCTACTGATTGAGATTATCTCTTTCTAATTGACCCTGTTTAGTAGGTGCCTCCCATCTTTTCACCTAAGGATGGAGGCAGATTATTTTTTTTAATATTATGTTCTTTTAGAATACTGGATGATGGCCAAGTGCAGAAACTCATGAATCCTGAGCAGAAGAAAGAAGGCTTATTTTTACTGTACTCTTTACAGATTTTGCAGAATAATAAGATGATAAACAGCAATGAATCTTCAAATGATCTCGAGAGATTTACTCTTGATGGAAGAAACCAGAGAGAACAGAAGAGCAAGACATGTGGTTGCTGACAGAGTTCTTGATGTGTATAATAGAACACTTTCATGTGCTTCGTGTTGATTACAAGGGCAGTCTGCTCGAATGAATGTGTATGGAGATCCGTTTGGATTACTGTATTGCTGGTTGTTGCCATATTTATTGCTAGAGGTCAGTAGTGTAAGTTGAATAGCAGCTAAACTTTCCACCAATAGGGGCCATGACTTCAAGATGATGTCAGATTAGAAAAGTGATTAAATATCTAAGTATTGTGCTGTTGTATAACATTTACTAAATGTGTTACTGGAAGACATAAATACAGAATAAGCACTCAGTTTGTTTGAAATGTGGTGAATGTTGAGAAGACAAAATGCCGAATACTGCTTATGCTGTGGTGTTCAGTAGTTTCATGGGTTTTTGGCGACTGTCCAACAGCAGTGTGGGGGTGGTGCAGGTGCATATTTATCAGATGTGTACTCTCCTAATTCACCAGCAAATGCAGTTTTTTTAGTATATATTTTTGTTAATTGGTGTACCCACTTCAGAGAAGCCTTTTGTTTTGGAACCCTCTAATGTCTTTTCTTTCAAGGTTAAAGATTGGTCATTGCTTTACTGCACAGCTGTGCTTTTGTGCCTTGAAACTAAGACTAAGTATGATGGAAATGTGTTGTCAACAGTAATTTAGTATCAGACTTCACACAATTTGTTACAAACTAAATGTTTTATATTCAACATTTAACTTAGTTATACTTCTGCAAGATTGCATGATACATATTTGTACTGTTTTAAAAATGTTGTTACAGAATAATTACAATTTCAGCTTAGTAAAGATGTGACTAATTCTTTAGGATCTAAATCAATATATGCTTCAGATAGATTTCTTATATGTACGTTTTTAGTTGTCTTTCCTGTGTTGAATTGAAAAAAAAAGTAGTCTTCTTTGTCTGCAATAAAAAATATGAATTACAAAAACATAATGTAAACAAAATATGGTCGCTTGGATGGTATGCTACAGAATATAGCTGTAAGTTATACACCACATGCATTTTTAGTGTATAAATGATTTGTAATTTTCTTAATATTTGCCTTGCTTTACATCACTGTGCAATTTGATAACTGTGGCCATATTTCCTTGTGTATATCGTATTTTTATAAGTATGTTTGTAATGTATTTAGATATTAAATTATGAATTTCCCTAGTGCCATGCTCTTACTGACTTGCCCATACACACACAATTCTGCAGCCACGTGGTGTATGTGTTGCACATCCTACCTCAGATATGATGAATGGTTTTTTGGACATCATCCATTGTTCTAATTTTTATTCAAAACTATGTTTCAGAAACTGAACCCAGTTGATAAGATCTAGTGCCTGTCTCCCAACACCAGACTCAACACAAGATATGGTATATAAACTAAGCACAATGGAAGGTGTGGGAGATGAGGTAAAAATATAAGACATGTTGAGCAACATGCACGAAACCTTGCATCTGTGCTCATGCACAATGTTTTGGCCAGAGTCTGATTGGCTGGAACATTATGCATGGCCATAGGTGCAAGGTCTTGTTCATGCAGGCTGACATGTCTTTCTAGTGTTTATCTTCAACTACCACAGATGGTTTCTGTTGTGCTCTGTTTATAAATTGTTGCATGATAGTGACTAGGCACAGGGTTTGGATTGATAATTGGATATATTAGCCACTGAATCATTTGATTGACAATTAATGGCACAGTTTACAAGTATGCATCGTCGTGTCACAACCTCTGACATGACTGTTCCTTTGTTCATGGCTGGCTCTGCGATCACAGACATTTTGCTAGTTTTTGAGCTCTGATAATGGGACTCTTCTGTTAGCTCACAGGCTGTCTATATGTTGCTTTGTTCTGGACCAGTGAAAAAAACAGCCCCACAGTTCCTTGACTGTCGGGCATTTACATGGCTGCCAGGGATTGGTTGTGAAGCATGTACATGGCTGTTGGGAATTGGGGCTTGACATAACCTAGCAGTGGACACTGTGATATTTCTCCGATCCCAAGATACCAACTTCCAGGCATCATATCACAAGTGTTGTGCCTTGTGTTGCGCCTGCTGTCTGGTGATAGGGACTAGCTCTGCTTTCAATCATGTGAAAAAAAGGTTACATCCAACGATACCATGGTAATTTATGGGTCAGGTTGGGATAGTACTCGCTTTGGCTGCTGAAAGCATCACACTGCTCCTCCCTCTATTATCTCGCTCCAGTACGCATCACCTACCAGTCTAGAGCGTCCAGAGATCAGGAGTTATGTTCTTAGGGGGGTGAGACTGACTACACTTGGTTCTGTGGCCACTTCTGACCTATTGTACCAGCCCCAGATGAGAGAGGATGGTGCAATTTTGGGAATGATGGCCAGGGGATCCGAAGTACTTGGAGAAAACCGGCTCCAGGGCAAGGGGGGGGGGGGGGGCGATGACGACGGCGCCAGCGACGCCCAACCCCGCCACCTGCGACCCACGACCCTGTGAGGCTCACCTAGTCTCCTACCAAATGGGTGCCGGGAGTAAAGGAACTGGGGCGTGAAGCTGATCACTCATTTTCATCTAGTGCCAAAGTGCCATATATTCATGGTGTGGTAATTAATTAAGGCCAGGGATAAATTTAGAGGCAGGCGGTAGCATAGTCGGTTGAGCTACTATGCTATGAGCTGGAGGGTCGCGGGTTCGAGTCCCGATGAGGTCACTGGATTTTTCAATTGTTCCAATCTCACCCTGTGATAGGGCTGCGCCATAGCTCAAGCGGTTAGTCGCTGGCTTCCCACCGCGGCGGCCCGGGTTCGATCCCGGGTCTGGTCAAGTGGGATTCTTGGTGGAGAAAGTGGCGCTGGAGCTGTTTTTTTCCGAGTACTTCGGTTTCCCCCGCCAATCTTCATTCCACCAAATTCTCCATCATAATCACCCGGGGCAGGTACAATAGGCCAAACAGTGGCCGCCGTGCCGAGTGGACCCAGTTGGACTCCACCCCCCACTTAGCGAAAATGGCCCTGTGGTCGACTAAACCTCTAACAGAAATGAGTACCACGAATCTTCCTGAAGGTACAAGACAGGCGGCCGGCGCGTAAGCCTGACAACCTCACCACCGTCTGAGCTGATTGTTTGGAAAATTTGGGAACCTCGACGTCTCACAACCCTATGGGTTTCCACGGCCCGTTACAGGAATAGCTTTAGTTTAGCCTTTTTACGGTTCATATATCCGCACCAAAATACGTACATTGAATACTCAAGAGAATAGACACGATATACTGAAACAGTAGAACTACTTCACGCAACGTATTAATGCTCGCCTGTTCCTTGCTGTGGAAATCCTGTGTAAGGACAATGATAAAACAGCACGCCTATAAAGTGTTTTGTATAACCTATGTAGAAGGAAATATATACCGTGGAATATGAATTAATTATGTATTTATTCTAGCTCAACTGACGGCTTTGCCAGTACCATCGAATGGTATGACGGTTGCCGTCTGATGAGTTTGCAATGTTAAATATAAAACTATGATCTATTCTGAAGCACAGGCGGGAAGTTGCCTTAATGGTTAAAAGGGAAAACATAAATTTTGAAGGCTCCTCAGATCACTGACTCTTCCTCTCTGCTTCCAAACAAATTCAGCCAGCACACAGTACGTTATCATTATAAGCAGGGTTTTGTTTCTGCTCGCTATCTTGTTTCCTCCTTTAACCTTTTCATCACAGTATTCTTCTCTGCCCTTTCGCACCTCTTCCTTTCCACTGAATTCATGAGGCCTCTGTTTTAATTATTTGTTTCTGTCAGCGTGATCATGCACGAGCAGACACCCTGAGTTATTAAGAGGATCTGGAGCCAGAGCCTGGTTCACAGCACCAAGCTTTACCCCAGGGGTGGGAGGCTCGAAATCTATGATACCATGTCTTGTTTATGTGTAGGTAAGAATGAAGAGACATTACTTTATAATTGACTTGCAAAGTTCGGGTTATCCACCTCAGTGTGAAACTCTGAGAAGCAGAATCAGTATCAGGATTGAATGTGGGTAGGGGTATTTATCTATTTTGTTTACTGATTTAATTTTTGTTACATTGTTATTCACTTCTGTTGTTATAGGTGTATTCCTTCTCTTGGTTTTGCCATATAATGCTACCTGTACTGAACTGGTGAAAATGAACATAAGATTTTCAATAGTAATTGCATTTCTTTAAGATATATTATTAATTTTTGCTATATAATCATATCCAATAGTGAACTGGAAGATGAATAGATACCAGATTTTCAGTATTCATTACATTTTTTTGTAAGATACATTACTTTTGCCATATAAACCTTTCCATTACTGAACTTGAAGATGAATAGATACCAGATTTTCAGTATTCATTACATTTTTTTAAGATATGTTACTTATTCCATAAAATCCTTTCCATTACTGAACTGGAATTTGAATAGATACCAAATTTTCAGTATCCATTATATTTCTTTAAGATATGTTATTATTTCTGCCATAGTATTCTGCCCAGTACTGAACTGGTGAAGATGAATATATCAGATTTCCTTATATCATTAAATTTAGTCTTAATCTTGTTGACAAGAGTGTATTTCACATTCTCGAATTCCATCATTCTAATGAAAATAATAATAAATGGGAACATGAGTATTGTTGCTTACAATACATGATTTATAATAATTAAATGTAACCAAAAATCTGTTCTGTATAGCTTTTGAGTGTAAGTTATGAGGAAATTATGGGGTTTAATATATGTATCTCTGACGGAAACAGAATTTTCTTGCAAGTTTCCCCACCTTCAGCTTTCCTAAATACAAGTATTCATGTATGTCACAGTTCACAATGTTCAGTGCCTTTGGTTAAAGAGGTGTTTCATGGGAAAGAAAGATTATGACTTTCCAGGCATTGGTGAGAAAACTTCTCCAGATAAATAATTTACAACCTAATCTCTTGTTCTCTAGAGCTGCAGAGGCTCTTATTCCGTTTTTTTTTTTTTTTGGAAAGGGTGGGGGACCAAGTTTAATAGCACTTCACTCAAATCCAACAAAAGGATATGGGTTAAGTGATATTGAATTTACTTATGGAGCTGAGCTCTTCTTGAGAACTCACCAAATGTTCAGCCTCTCAAAAATTTTCCAGCCTTTTATGGAGCCCAAAGTTTCATTACTGTGTTCACAAGAGCCCTCCACTGGTCCCTATCCTGAGCCAGATAAATCCAATCCATACCATACCATCCTATCTCTCTAGGATATATTTTAATATTGTCCACCCACCTGCACCTTGCTCTTCCCAGTAGTCTCTTTCCCTCTGACTTTCCCACCAATATCCTATATGCATTCCTCGCCTCCCCCATTCGTGCTCCATTCCCTGCCAACCTCATCCTCCTTGACTAGTGACATTGAACACAGTTCAGAAATAGAGATAGGTTAGGGGGAAAACCTCTGCAGTACAAGAGATCTGGTTGTAAAAAAATTTATTGCCATTCTAGCGAACAAAGACTTGGAGGGAGGGGGCATCAAAATAGTTGCTATGTTAGCATACCTTCTTACCGATTGTGCTCTCGGCCCTGTCGGTCATTTTAAATTTAGTTACTGTAGGATCTGTAGAGATGGCAGCAGCACTGAACGGTGGTGTCATGGCGGACATGTTGCCCACCAATAACATGGGAGTTTCACGGGGCTGCCCAGTACCTCTTACCCTATCCTATAAAATGAATTCTTCAGAGGCNCAAAACTCCGTTCGTTCGAATCCGGGTGCTCGGACGCCCGTCACGCCGCGCCCTCGGAGGCCTGCTGGCGACCAGCCGTCATCGGCCTCCCTCGACTGCCGGCCGTCTGCCGGTGGCGTGCGAGGCGTACCGCCCTCGAGCGGTTCGCTCCCTCCACTCCTCGCTCACTCTCTCTCCTCTCTCCCTCTCTCACGTTAATGATCCTTCCGCAGGTTCACCTACGGAAACATTAATCTTTGAGTATGTGCAAGATTTTTTGCGCTTAGGACTATAGGTCAGTTGGTGCTAGGTTTACTATCATGAAGGGATCCGCTGTATGTGGACTATTATTAAACAAACTTCTGCGAACGTCAAACATAAAGGATTACTAAGCGACCGGTGTTTAATATGGTGGTAAGCCTGAGCTGGCCGGACCATATTTAAATGACCGCTGTCGAAACTCGTTTAAATGTCCATTCCTGGTAGG